AATTTTCATATCTGAGGAGTCCTGTGGTTCCAGAACGAGTCTGTCTAAGCACCCTACCACACTCAGCAGTAGATTTCAAAGCATAATGGCTGGAGCAATTGATCAATTATGCTCCCTGCAGTTAGAGATCAGAAAGGCTCCTTTAGGTGACTGGCAAACATTGGATAATCATATAATATAAATCATATAATGTAAATTCCAGAACAAAACCATTATTCTATAAAATCATGATACATGCTCTTCCCATCTCAGAGACAATCAATACAGAAAAAAAATGAAGATAAAACTACCAATCATGGGAAATAACCAAGTAGTCAATTATTTATTCTTGCAAACTTACTCAAGGAGTCTTTGTGCATCATAGTATCCAATTGGATGAACAGGAATATTTGGAAGACCAACAGCTTCTGTAATATCATGCCTATAAGCATATTCTGAAACAATAACAACAAAAAGAAACACATTTCCAATAAAAACTCAATTCCTTTCAAGTGGATGTCTATAAATGATATTGAACACATTCTCATTTTGATCTATTGGAAATCGTTAAAGAAAACTGATAATTCCAAATGTTACCAAGAACATAAAGCAACTAAACTCTCCTACATTGCTTTTAAGAGTATAAATTAGACAATGACTTGGGATAATTCTTTTGAAAGGGACCTTTAGCAGAAATGTGCACTATGGCACAGCAATTCCACTGCTAGGTATTCACCTTAAAAAGATGAAAATATATGTGCAAAAAAAAAAAAACCTTACAAAATGTTTAAATCAGCCACATTTACATCATCTAACAAATTTCTGACCACAGGAGAATAAATAATTYTTGTATAATCCAACAATAGAATGCCATTCCGTTGTTAAAAGGAACAGGTTACTGGTATGCAAAATAATATGGAAAATCTCAACTCATTATACTGAGAGAAATATGTGAAACAAAAAAGAGCATCTACTGTCTGATTCCATTTATATGAACATCAAAATGAGGCAAACTAATGTAAGATGCTAGATATCAAAATGTCATTGCTTTGGGGGGATGAAGTGCAAATTGACTGGGAAAGAGCATAGGGGAACACTCTGAACATCATAAAAATGTCGTTTAATTTTGGGTGACATGAATGCATACAATTTTCAAAGTTCATTGAACTGGAGTTGGAGACATGGTTCAGTATAGGGTGCTTGCCTAGCACATGAACCAGACCATAAGACCCTGCATTCAATTCCCAGTGCTGCAAAAACAAAATTTAAAATAGAAAAATACATTGAACTGAATTTAAGATCTGTGCATTTTATTGCATATAAATTTTACTGCAAAATAATATTCTGACATTTATTCAGGCTTAAGAAAAATTAGGTCTATATTTTCCTTCCCCTCTCCCCACCAGGTTTTGAAATTATCTAATAAGAAACTTATCTCAAAAACTTATTATTCTCTTGGGCAGAATGACATAATGATATGCTGTGTAGGGGGCGATGTTTTCAACAAAAGGGGGGTGATAGACAGATGAAACAAAGTTGACAATATGTTGGTGACTATCTTTGCTTTGGATATGTTAGAACTATTCCATAGTAGAAACTAAAATTAAAAGGAAGTGGTAAACTTAAAGGCACCCAAGGGGTTGAATAAATGCTAG